GTAGCAAACGAAGTTTTGAAGGAAAAAGAAAACGTTACTACAAAGACTTGTAAAGGTGTTAATTTTGTTAATACATATATACCATGGAATATTCTAGTACATAGATCTTCGAGGCTTTGAAATATTCTGATAGATCTCTTTATATTCTGACCTTACTAGAAACTTTCCTGCTAGTTAAACGTATCATGACTACCAGATGAAATAAATTTAGTTAGAGAAGGTCTACTTTATGATCATATACTATAAGAGGATTGCACCACAAGACCAGAACCGCACGACCATGCATCGCTGTCGATGCAGGTCCTTGAGGTACAGCTACAAAATCTTAATTCTGAAAAGGGTTAAAGATATTGTAGTTAGAGAGTTTGGGTTGAAAACTTTCAATTAACCCAGAACTGGAATGTTGTAGAAAAAAATCCTAAGGTCTTAGTTTGCACGAAGAAGCAAAGTTGTTAGAGTTTTAGTACCATTATGATCAATTTGAATAAAGAATTAGTTTTATTATCATTATAATAGTTTGATATGTTTAAACACGACTTTTATGCAAGACAAAGTAATCTAATAAACCGCATAAAGGTATGAGGGTTCACAATCAACAACGACAGTTATTTTACATAACGAAGTTTCTAACTTTGCGTACGTGGTTTGAATTTATTTGCCACGTGTGTGTGCACGGGTGCATTGACGAAATTTCGTTTTTACCCAATTTACCGGACACTTAGCACGAGAATCACGTCCTAAAGACCGCTATTATTTGACGAAAAAATTTTGGTGTTGTTAAAACTTTTCCTGTTTCACTTTTTTCGGAACGAACTGTATATTTAGAAAACTTCACCGGAATATTTTATTGCTAAATAATAGATTAAGATCTAAGAAATCTTTTAACTACCTATTTCATGTACAATTTAAATTTGGCGATGCGTCATCAATCTACAACAATCGTAAGAGAGATGAAGAATCCGGAGATGATGAGTGGAAAAGGTGAACGGCCTCCTCAGTTGGTCACTGTACCATCGCGCAAGAAGTAACCAGACCACGGGATCACACCGCGAGCTCTCTCCAAGGGTGGAGAGGAGACGAAAGAGGCGGTTGAAGAAGAAAGATCTCTTGAGGTGCCGTCTAGAGAGAGGTAACTGACCTCTTTATATCTAACGGTATATTTGTTACAATTGCGCGATGGAAGGACGGTGGAAGAATATGAGTAACAAGGTCATAGGAATCGCTGTCGACTAGCAACTTGAGTTATTGGTGCGATATTTTTAGCTTTCTTCAATTTACCATCGCGGTATCAGTTTGGTGTCAATTTTCGCGGTCAATATGATCTTCGAAAGACTACTAATAACTTAGAAATTATTGAGATAGGTTATGGATTTCGTATTAATAAAGACTTTTCTCGTAAAGCATTAATTATTAGAATAAATTAGATAAATATCTTATTTACAAAATACTCACTAAATTCCTTCAACATTGTATTATTTCACTGCAAAAGTCCACGTTACGTTCAACTCTACCACATCTGGTTAAATGAGAAGTTATCTCAACAAATGAGTTGTTGACGCTTAATCAAAATAATGAAATATCGAAAGAGTTCAAAGTTCGCCGTCTCGAGCAACGTTTTAATTGAAATGATGGGATATTTTTACTCACAATACCAACATTACATAGTTCATTTTAACTTACAACTATCTAATTTTTGACCCATTATCATTCTTCATAAATTACAATTTTTGCAATGGAATCAACTTTATAAGCAGGATATGGATAATTAAAAATGGTTAATGATGTATTAGAAACGTTATTAAGATTAAACTGATAATATTTTAGTGCTAATTCATGTTCAATATACTCATTATTCCATTCAAATATTTAAAACACTGAAAAGTTATTTATTATAAAGATTGTTTATTTATCAATCTTAGAAAAAATGCAGAGTACTCTAAGAACCAACTTAGATACGACACTCATTGTTAGATACACCAAGAAATTCTACAATAGAAAAATAGATAAGAAGTTTATGTCTTTTATTTTATATAGAATTTAAGTCTAACCAGTTTCGGCCCTTGGCCATCTTCAGAAACTCCACAAATAGATTAATATCAGCGCTAGTTGGCGGTTTAGTCGTGACAAAAACTTTAATTTTATTATTATATTCGTAATCTTCATAAAATAACCTTTAAACTGGGTCCAAACATAACGCATTTATCTCAAATAATCAAAAAGTTCGAACATTCAACTTTTAATTTTGACATATTTGTCAATTTCATAAAAAATCTTTTAAAATGAGTCCAAACTCGACATATTTAACTTTAATATTAACAGAAATACAATCACTTCCGGTTTGAAACGTCAACGTCAATTTTGACATATTTGTCATCTTCATTAAAAAACCTTTAAAATGAGTCCAAAGATGACGCACTTATCTCAAAAAACAAAAAAGTTAGAGGTACATCTTC